GTTTCATTTTCTCAAAAATATGATAATATTTCTTCAGGGAGTGCAGTTAGTTACAGTGTGGGATCCATGTTTACTCCAATAGCTTGTCAGGGGCGGGGCTTAGTGAAAGATCAATTGCTAGAAGTTTTACAAAGTTATACAGACATGGTATATGTGTAATGTGTGATTTTTATTTGCCTGCTATAACAGTATTGAGACTAGCCTGGCAAAACACGAATGGGTCTGGACTTGGAGTGTACATTTCCTCTATTCCCGAGGGGCGGTATCAACGGCTGTCACTCAAAGTGCCCCTTCACGCAATTGGAAAGACGGAAAACCAATCAGAGTAAACGAAACGTGTGAAGGAGCGAAATAGAATATGAGCTCGCAAAATTAAGATGGTTTCACCAGGCTATATTAAGACACCCTTAGTTACACTTCAGGAGCTTGGAACTAACAAACACAACCTCTGCCTATAAATCCAGTTAGTGCAACATCAGGCCTGTATTACATTATTCAAGCAGCAACAAACAGTGACAGCTATGCATCATGAGTGATTCATGTCTCTGAGAATGATGCTGGACTGCAAGAATGCCTCATTTTCAGATACATGTTGCACAGATTCCTCCTTCCTCAGTTCTACACCTTTAATCTCTCCCACACAGCGAGGGTGGAAAGAGACAGGAAAGAGGGAAGAGATGTATCAGGGCCACAAATGTGCCACAGAGGGGTCATTTAATACTGTAGGTGAAAATGGAAAATGTATCACCACTTCCTCAGTCTATCTCCCGGAAAGAGCTTGCATCGTAATGTTTAGCAGTGTTTTGTGTCTGACCTGCTCCATTATTTCTCTCTGCAGATGGGAGGTGACAGCGTGGACCGGCTGCTCTGCGTCCTGCGGCGTCGGCATACAGACCAGGAGTGTGTTTTGCATGCGCCTGTTGTCCGTTGACCAGCAGGATATTCTGACTGTTTCAGAGGACGAGTGCAGGGAATTCAAACCTGCCATCCTGCAGCCCTGCAACCAGGTGGACTGTCCTCCAGCCTGGGAGACCGAACCCTGGCAGCAGGTATGGACTTTGTTTGTGTGCAATAAAATCTGATTGCACCTCTCCATTCCTGCAACTGTCTTCCTCTGCTTCCTCCTTCTAGTGCTCCCAGTCCTGTGGTGGGGGCGTCCAGGTGCGGAAGGTCTACTGTAAGCAGCTCCTGTCCACAGGGGCCTACAGGAGGCTGGGGGACAGGTCCTGCTGGGGGGCCAAACCTGCCACAAACAGAGGCTGCAGCACCACTGACTGTCTGCCCTACCTGGCAGGAGGAGACTGGGGAAAGGTGAGCACCAGCAAGTGGAGGAATGACAAATGATGGAGGCTGCAAGCTTGAATGGAAGCTGCTTTTTTTCAATATATATTATTTCTACAGAAGCATTTCTAATTGAAACTCAGGCCCGATCAAGTCTTCATTTATAAAAGCAAAATCAGTTATTTTCAGTGGAATCACAGTTAAGTGTGGCCATCCTTGTGAGAGGTACATGCACAAAAGTTTTCCGTGACTTCAGGGAATTTTGGTATGCAAATATGCAGCATTAACCAAAAGTAAAACGTTTCAGCGGCGCTGACGTTTGAGGCAAAGGAGAGCCAGAAAAACCCAAGCTGTGTTGCACCATCCACATTTAAATAATCCTGCTCAGCCAGAGTATAAACTGCTCCACTAGAGAGGCATGGTTTGCATGCAGTTATGAAGCAATGGGAGAAATACACCTCTTGAATAAACTGTGTCAACTTATAGAGACATGAAATGCAACTGGAATTTCCCGCCATTCTGGATGGTTATGTTACTGTCTATCTATACGAATAACAGTGTGTTTATGTGTATGTAAATCACTGGTTTCCAACCAGGACAATGGCCAAGCGTCAGGGAGAAGGAAACACTGAATTTGTCAAAAAAAGATTAAGCCTATTTAGTATGTATCATAGTTTAAAAACAACTCATCTTTGATGCAACGTTCACAGGAAATAATCTGATAAAAATTAATCCAAATCAACTGATCCACTGATTTTACATAAATGTCCTGCAGTTTCTGTGTTCATTATTTGTGTTAATTGTCCAGTTTATCAGTTGGTCTGTACTATTATTGTTGTGCATTGAATATAATATGAAATATCCATAATTATGTTACTTAGTCAGGAGTCGTCAGGTTACTCAATGATGATAAAAGGTTGGAAACCACTGATGTACGTTATACTGTATGTATGTGTTGAATTTGAGCCTAGTTTCTTCACATCAGTTTCAGACAATTCTGCATGGCTCAGTTCAGGTCCAGCTGCTTTTGTACCATTCGTTACTTGTGTCTTAAATCAACATTAATTGTAACCGGAATCATTCCCTTACCTTTACCACGCTTGACATGTACAAAAACATTGTCCATCGTCTAGTATCAATAAAGATAAAGATGCTGAATTAGGTCTTACTTAAACATTCCTGTTCTTATCGATTGTGTTCTGTTTCACTCTGTAGTGCTCGGTGTCCTGTGGTTTGGGGATCCAGCGCAGAGAGCAAGTGTGACGCCAGCTGACAGCCATGGGCCACCAGGAGACGCTGGCCAGGGAGCTGTGTTCAGGGTTGTCCTCCCCACCACTCGTGCGGACCTGTCGCATGATGGCCTGTCCCAGTAAGAACACACAGTCATACTCACACACATATTGCCACACCTTTATGTTTTATATGTTCACATCTGAAAAACAGAACAGAAGGTGGGTTTTGTTGCACTTATTGCAGGATTTGGTCTGTTTTATTCACTCTGGCAAAGTTTCTGCTCTGAAGTTACACTAGCTGTTTTTACACAGAGATCGACACAAAGTCCCGTCTTTACGCCACCTTTGTATTTTTACACAGAACCAAATGATGGCGGCATCATACCGCTACAGTATGTGATTTTAGACAGATGCTGGCATCCTGGTAGGAAAAGAGGGGCGCGATGTGTGACACAATAGTGTCGGCCTCTAGTGTGAGATGATGTGAGCTTTGTGACATGGTGCGTTATCCTGCTGGAAGTAGCCATCAGAAGATGGGTACACTGTGGTCATAAAGGGATGGACACGC